AGCCAAGTTGCAAGTGCAATTGCAACGAGGAATTTTAATTTCTCGCAAAATTAACTTCTGCTCAAATTATTACGTTGTGCAATGCAAATGCCAACAACTGGGGCACATCGCGCTGCTTGCCCATTTCCTTCATCCGCCTTTTGCTCGCCCGAAAATTCACTTAAGGCCCCAAGGACCAAAGGAAGTTTTAGCTGCCACTGACACAGAAAGAAACGCTAAGCCAAGCCAGCCATAAAACAATAATTGCAACATCAGTTTGGGGCGGGCCAAAAGGGTTAGTCCTGCTCACTATTCCCCCCCGCTCGCCTCCTTTTTTCGCCGTTTTTCTCTGATTAATACAAATGAGCGGCGATTTGTCATGTCACTGCGTTTAAATTTATCATTTTCCACGACAGGCGCGAGTTTTCCCGGCCACTGTTGTTGTTTCTGGTGTGATTGTTACTATAGCCTTTGTTTTTCTCCCTTTTTTTATTCGCCGCTGTTGTTTCCTACATGCCTTTGCCTTTTCGTATCGCTGCTTTATTTTTATGTGTTTTTTGTTGTTGTCGGGTGCCTTGCTTCCACAGCATTCCCTTGTTTGTTTTTCCTGCTTCCGGCAGGCGCTTCCTTCCTTGCCCTGACTTCCCGCGCCGCTGAATGCCTTTCCCCCTTCAATCCCTGGGACCACCGCCCACAATGGACAGAACGGCGCCAAGATCGCCAGTATTGCACTTTTTGGCATTCGACTCGTTCTCGTCCCATCTCTTTTCTTGCATCAAAATGCCTCTCTTTCTATACGACTTGATTTTTTGTTTAAATTTTTTTTACACCCTATCGTAGGTTGTTTGAACTATACTACACCTTTTGCTTACTACCTTTCTGTTTAATTTTTTTATATTACCTAATACATTTTTTATTCTTGATGAAACTCTTTCGAGAATAACACATAATTGGGGCAAGTTAGAGTATTAAGTATTAGTGACTTGGTCCCCCGAATTCTCCATTGTTACCACCAGAGTCCCGCTTCTGTTGCTGCTGAGTGAATTTTATGTGGCATATGCCGAGGCGCAACATTTTTGTTAATGGCTTGTAAAATTTTTTCGCATACACAAATCCTTTCTGGCTCTTTCCTTTGCCCAGTAACTTTTTGCCGGAAACTCTGCCTGAAGTCCGTTGTCCCGACCCGGACCCGGACCCTCGCTTTCTGCTTGCCTGGGCGTTGACATGACACTGCACATAACAGGCCACTGCTCGATCCCCCAACTAGCCCAAAGCCACCCACGGGCAAGGCAACCGCCAATCCAAATCCAAATCCCACCCCCGGGGCATCCGTAATTGTTTGTTAGTTTTTGCTGGTTTCGTGCAGCTGTTGCGGCATTTGCCAAAAGCATAATTCGATTAGCTTTTATCGCAGCGTGTTCAACTGCAATCATTGCGGAAAAATGCCAATTAGAAAAGTTACAGCTCCAAGTAGAATTTGTCCTATTTTTCGCTGTGTCAGTGCGTCCTGTGTGCCTGTCAGCTTCTCGTGTTTCGTGGAGATCCGGGACTCTGATATCCCATTTCCATGTTTCAACTTAAAGTAATGAACAAGTCAATGAAACTTTTCCCATACAATTTTCAGACAACCTCACAAAAAAGAGACCTACCCCACCATAATCAAAATTTGACTCTAATATTCTCCAGTTTCATTTGTGTTTCAGCTCGTATCAAATTCTTCCAATTTTTGTTTGTGAAATGTTTACCAAATTGCTCCTAAAATGAGATATAATATTTGTATGGATTTTACCTGTGGGTGGGTTATAAATTAGCTTTTCTGAAATTTTTAAAATACAAATATTTTTAGGTTTTTGGTTACACAGCATCCCCTTGCTTAGAAGCCTGCGCATAATGTCTATGAAAATAATATCACAAAAATATTTAGAGAACTGGAAGTAGCAATCCTAAAATACAAAACACATGCACACACTTTCTGAGAAATTTGGAGCATAATAAATTTCAGGTTGTGAGCGGCAGAAGCAAGTATGAAAATTGACAGCAGAAAAGCAGCAAGAGCTGAGAGGTCGGGGGAAAGGTAACTAAAACTATCCAACACAGCACCTGGAATAACATGAACATACCAGCCCCTCACCTGGCTTATCCTACGCCATTTCACCTTTCCCATCGCATCTGACTCAAACTTTGCCGAGTTTCGTTTTCACTTTAATCAAAAACTTTTTGCTACGCCACCCAAATTTGCATTCATTTTCTTTTTACGCTAAATAAATTATTATCTAAGCAGGGAGCACTGCACTGTGTGTGAGTGCTGCTGTTGTTTTTCGGATAGTATTTAGCTCCGAAGAAAGTTAAGCAAAATGTTGATGCTTGTGTAAGTTGATAAGTCTGGCAGAAGACTCAAAATACCTTTGAAAAATATGCAAAATAAGACACAATTTAATGTCTATTTTTAGAAAACAAATAACTTTAGGGAAATACATTCCTTCTATGGATTAATTCCAGTTTTTTTACTGTAATCCGCTGCCAAAAAAAGCATTTGGAAAGTTTTACCCGCTAATTGATTGAAACATGGTTAATTTTCGAAACCAATCCATTTCCAGCCAAGTTCCTGGCAGTGACAGGAGCACATTTTAGCCAAAGAAAGTGCAGCTAATAGGCAGCACTTGTGCGGGCGTGGCAGTACCTCCAGGGCTGTGGCAGATGAATCAGCAGTGGAGCAGCTGGCAAACTTGCGTTCCACTTTGAATGGCTGCGATTAGTCCTGTGGAGCGACATAAAAGGACACATGTTGTTGGCTGGTGGATGCTGTACTAGTTTATAGCTCAGGCATTTAAGTTTCTTCAGAAATAAAAACGTATTTCTTTATTTGTTATATTATATGTTTATGTATGCCTTTATATAAACTATTTATTTATATATTCAATATTTTTATATATTTTTGTTATAAAGGAGGACTTAAAACCCTCAGAATCAAATAGTTGTAATCCATCTCTATCCCAGATATTCTTCCAAGACTTCAAGCTTCCTCTGGCCCTGTCATTTGTTGTTGGGCTTCTTCCTCGTATTTCGGCTGGAACATTGCGGTTACCAAGAGCGGAAACTGCGTTTTTGATAACATTTTAATGAAAACTGTCAGTGGCAATGCGCCAGTGTGAGTTGGCAACGTTTTTGCAGCCGCTTCTCTATCTCCGTCTCGCTTCCCCGTCAACTTCTCGCCACGCCCAAACGCCCTCAGGCAGCTGCTTTGTCAAGTGTGAATTCAACACTTGTGACTTGACATTTTTAGGCGAAACGCTGCTGCAGCATCAGCAACAACAACAAGAAAAACAGCAACAGCTACAGCGGCAATCTTCATAAGTTGCGCATACGCCCCGTGCTCCCACCAGACCGCAACCAGCGGCATCCTGGCCGCAGCTGTGCATTAGGCAAACTCGCCTCCGAAATGACTTAAAATGAATGCGCGAAACAATTCGGCGGGTTCTTTGTTTGCCCGGCCGAGGACTCGACTCGACTTGAACTGCGGCTTTCAGCTCCTTCTGGCCCTGCCCCAGTCCCTGCTCCTGCTAGCACTGCCTCATTTTGGCCTGCTGCTCATTTCGTTGGCTAAATTAAAATTGCATCCCAGCAAATGCGCTGAGGTCGTCGAGGGTCTGATGTGTACACTGCGCGGCGGTTTCTGGAAGGCGGGGGCAGCTTGTCTTATTTAAGTTTTACCCTGTCACAGCCCCAGCCGCATGCACGATATTTGCTTTCGCTTTTTACGCTTAAAAGCCATACAAATTTTCATCAAGAGTTCGCCTTAATTACCAAAAAAAATGTTACTTTTCGTAGAAGGGTTGCTGATGATTTTATAGTCTTTAATATATGATTATGAATTAAAATTTTGGTATAAAACATTTTTGTGGCCATCAGCCGTCGTTGAAATACCGTTTGATTGTTGCACCGGAAATTAGCCTAAGCTTAGAGTTTCTCGCACCAAATTGCCTTAAAAAACGGTTTCTGATCTGATCGCAGGATAAAAACTCAAAAATACAGAAGGTGGCTCTGCCAGGACGGGCTCTGCAAATTGCACCTGGGGCGAAGCTTGGTTTTTGTTTGCACATCAAATTGCAATTGCAATTGCTTTGTGTGCATATATAAGCTTCGCAGCCGGTGCTTCTATTCTGTATCTATGTGCTGGAACAGAGCGGAAATAAAACCAAAACGGATATGCTTACTAAGTACCTGAACACAGCGGCCACATCCGGCGGCTCTCGGTATGTTTCTCCGGTGTGTGTTGTGCTGTGTTGTGTTATGTTGCGTGTCTGTTTCCATCTGCCGGCTGTTGATGCTGCTGATGTAAGGGCAGATTTAAGCGTTCAACTGCCGACCTGTATTTGCCTTCACTAGGCTATTTGGTCTATTGATTTACCATCTCCCACTCACAGGATTTTGTGTCCATCAAAATTGATCCGGGGTCCGATGCAAAATGAAGAATTTTCTACAGCTCATTGCATTGCTATTGAAGGGAAAAAAATACTGGCTGAGTAAATTTAAATCCACTCAAGCATCTAGACGGCAAGCTGTACTCTGGTAAATTGCCGTTCGTTCGATTTGAGTCCTTCGCCTCGGTCAATGGAGTCCTGCCAAGGGGTCTCTTCAAGAGAAGGAGAGGAACACGCACAGATTGAATGTCAGAGGGAATATCATATGCGCGACAAAGCAAAGTTTCCAAAGTAGATTTCGAAGGGTTGGGCGGCCAGCGTTGGCAAAACTTGTGGTGCCAAAAGTTTCGAACAAAGCAGAAACTTAGTTCCCGGTTGTTGTCCTTTTTGTTGTCAGCACTTTGCTGCTTGCAACTGCATTCGGGACTTTTTCCCAAAAATACATCGCACCTTTCAAACCTACTGTGCTACTCATTCTCCACATCATTCATTCTAATTAGCTCTTTCACAATTTTTATTAAATCTTTGAATTTAAAGCTTCCGGAAAAACACACTTCAATGATAATTAATAAAAAAAATATAGAAACCAATTCTTATTACTTTTCAATGTTCGAATAAGCAATATTTTATTTATATTCTCTTTGATACAAATTCACTTAAGAATATTAGTGCCTATTTATATTCACTACTTTTTCAGCGTACTTGGTGCAGTCGTTCAGTAAAGTTTGCATAAAAGGGACAAGTTCAGCTTGCGAATCTGGCTCGTTTTCCAATATAACTCTTTGCTTCTGAAATAAAATGTAATAAATTTAAGTATTAAATACATAGAATACATAGAATCGATTATGATCACAGGTTCTCACACTTACCGATGTTTCATTAGAAATGCGCAGTTTTAGGGCATTAATTTTGGTTTTATCGTCTTCAACATCGACATCGGGAATAGTTGCCAGTTGGGAAGCTTTTCCAATTTCTTGATCGAGTGGTCTATAGGATTCTATAACTTTGTTTTTTTCTTCTTGTCGAGACTGTTCAACACCCGTAAAGGTTGTATCCAAACAATTTGTTGCCTCACTTACGAATCGAGAATCTATTCTGTTCCCACTAAATTTTTGTCTGATGTCCGAAGCCAATTGACGTTTCAATTCACGATCTTTTAAAATTACATTTTGAGTCCTTTTTTCATAGATACCCTGTGGGCCCAAATCAAAGTTGAGGCCCCTCTTCATGGCATCCAGATCTACCCGTAACTTATCGCGTTGCTGCTTCATCTTCTTCAAAAACTCAAATGAGTCGGAAGTTGTGATAAGGCCTTGATTTAGTCCATTCACTGCCATTTTCCACATGATTTTTTTGTAATTATCCGAAAGTTCTGGTAAGTCTTTGTTATTGATATAAATTCCAAGTGTGCTGTTTATCGCAACGCACCACTCAAAAACCGGACCACTGGCCTTCGAATATAAAAGCCTGGCTTCCGAATTTAGACTACGCACACCGTCCAGGTGATTCTTGGCTGTGCCTTCGAATCCGAGCATCGATTTATCAACCTTATCGATAAAACCTTGTAACTCAGTTGACTGGATTGCTTTGTTAAAATCGCTTGAGTAGTTCCTAACTGCATGGGAAAGACTACCAAGTGCAGTCTTAAACACAGACAAGTCCCCCGGATCGGCACTACACACAACAACTAAAATGCTCAGAGGCAACACTAATGCCAAGGACTTTTTCATAGTTTTTTTAATTTTTATAATTTTTAGATGCAATTTGAAATACGAGCAATCTGAGACTAAAATTATGGCTTAGATTTCTCCCATTTTATAGCCTGAGAGATGATACTTACATTATATTTTCCGAAAAGTGATAAGACATTTATGGAAAAAAACGAGATGGGGTGAGTATAGTCGAGTTTCCCGACTATATTGTACCCGGTACTCTTTTCTTTAATCCACACAACTTTTTTTTATAAAATAAATTTAATTTAATTTAATTAATAAATTTAATTCCGGAACTAACTACCATAAAAATTTAGCAGAAAAACAAAATCTAAAATCTACAACTCTTCTAAAAATATAAATGCAAAATCTTTCATCTAATTACTTTATGATTTATTCTTCCTGTTACATACAGTACTAAAATACAATATACCCTTATACTCTTCGACCCTTACTGCCAATTTACCGGTGAAATCAACTTTTGTTATCAACAAAAGCTAATCTTCTAGGAAATCAAGGTTAATTTTGTTTGTACACATATATTTCAAGAATCGATAGGTACATTATAGTGTAAATTATTAAATAGAAAAAGTAGCAGTGAACTGTATTTATAACTCAGTGACTAAAGTTACGGGAATTTAAATTGCATAATAATAATTATTCTCCGGGAAAGGCACAATGGCTTAGTTTCTGTAGAGCGTGCGGAGCGTTTGGGCGTCTTAGGGCTCACCAAAAGTAATCCGTGTAAATGAAATTCCAGAGTGACAGGCTGGTGCTCATTTCACGCTGCCTGACCTTCGTCACATTTCACCAAATAAATTTCATAATTTCGCCCGCTATGGTGAAAAGTAATACAAAATAAAAGGGAACTCGAGCGCATTCCGGTGGTGCTGTATATACCGAGAACAATAAATTGAATATCATTTGTTTATTCGGTCCAATGCGTTTGTCAACTGACATGGTCATCCAAACACGCGCTCACATGAACAGGCGCATAAAATGTAATAAAATGCGAGCATTGCAGGTGTCAACCCAAACCGACGGGCCAACTGTCAACTTGCAGCAGCACAGTTGCAACAACACCGGCTTCCAAACGTTCCAAAGGCCACACTTTGCGGCCAAAAATATGTAGCAGAGCACACGTCCATGTCTACTTAAAAAAATCAGGCTTACTTTATTAAGTTTAATTTTCCCAAAGAAAAATGATAGGGTCAAATATTAAAATTTAAATATCCTTCTTTCATTATTTAGATAAAATTTTTTATGTTTTTGTTGATGCTATGTTTTTTGTTTTTTCTTTATGATTTCAGTGCATTCTAGCGCACACACAATGATGTGCTCATATTTATGCAATTTAAAGTAAAACACAGAACTGTTGCCGCTGTTGGTCAACATGGCGTATAAGCAATGTCTGCCATGCAGGCTGTCACACACACACACACCTATACTGAGACCGAGCGCTTGGGGGAAAGGGCCACGATACGCAGCATGATGGCATCTATCCTGCTGCTCCTGCTGCTGTCCCGTCGCCGTCCTAGCTGCCTTTCTATTTTTTTCAATTCTGTGCAAAAATGTCGAACGCGCTTAGACTTGTGCTTGGGCGGCCAGCGGCGACGCTTTGACACGAAACAAATTTAACTTTTTCATCTCGAGCGCTCGTCACTGTATGCGTGAGTGTTCCGGATGTGTGTGAGTGGGTGTGTTTTTGCAGTGGGCCGGGTCTGAGGTTACTTTGGATTGAAACACCAATCGGTATGCCGCCCTTTTGCATGCTTCACGCTTTGCTGCATACTTTCAGGCGCAAAGCGATTTTGCGTTTTTGGCATAGGACACTCTATGGCTGTGTGCGAGTGTGGGTGTGTGCAATAGTGAGAGTCATGAGAAAAGGTGTAAAAAATAAAAAAAAAAAAACAACCAGGAGGAAAACGAAGTGAACAACGTTGGGAAAAATGCATAAAATATGCGCATATATAATTTGACTAGGCGTGCGTCCAGCAAGGTGCATGGTGTGGTATGGTGTGTGTAGGTGTTCCACTGCCACTGTTGTTGTTGCCTTTGGTTGCATTACTTTCATAAATATGCATGCGGCATGCGCCAGTTTTTGCTTTTAATTAAAATGCAACGCTGCAACACCCAAACACCCACTCAAACGAACAAAAAAAAACCAAAAGATAGGGGGACACCATTCAGCTGGCGTACACATATTTCAAGTTTGCCTCAGAATTGATTGAATTCCTTGAGCTTGCCCTCCCGTTTTTACTGCGGATTTTTGTTTTTCGCCCTTCCCGGCATACCCATTTTCAATTACACTGAGTGCAGGGGGCGTGGCATCTTGGTCAGCTAATTTCCGTCACTAGTACGATGGATTTTCATTCCAACTTTCAACAGAGACTTGGAGGACGAAACTTTTGCTAATTAATTCATGCAAATGTCCCCAATGCCCCACCCCCTTGCCGAAACAACTGTCAAGAGTTTGAGGCTAATTATGCGGAGCATTTTGTAGCCCCACACCATTCCGCACTCCCAGCAGCCAGCCCTTCCCCGAATTCATTCAACGGCATTGACATTTTGTCAATGTTGTCAACATAAAATCCCGAAGCAAGAGTGTCATAAACTCTGACAACAGCACGCTGTTTTGTAAAATTAATTAAACAAAAATGTAAGAAAAGTACAAATAATTTTCCGGCGCTCGTACTTGAAAGTCAGCGTCAAAGTAGGGAGCGACATTCCGCCCTCGCCGAAAAGTCCAACTTAAATGAAATTTTGGCGACTGCAAAATGATAAAAAAAAGAGGGGAAGATACAAGAAGACAAGGAAAGTGCGGAAAAATATTTATATTCACAAATGTAGTCGGAAATATAGGAAGCCTTTATTTTTAACTTTAAATAAAAATTTTCTTCTCAAACATTACTAATTTTGAAGCACAAAAATTTATTAAGAGTGATAAATACTTTGTGAATTATTAAAATTAAATATATAACAAGATCCTATTCTGTTGATGTTGTGGCAGTAATTCTATGGTTTATCCTGCAAAACTGCTTATTGGTTCTAATACATATAAACCAAGCTTAAAACCCCTGTGGCCAAAATATATTTATGGCAGGATCAGTACAGGAATTACATTCCCTGAGAAATACTGCTACTGCTTCTGGTACTGCAGCTGCCACTGCTCCTGTCTAAGTCGGCCATAATAATAATGTAATTTGCAACAAAAGGTTGCACACAACTGCGAAAGAGCTGAGCGCGCTGAGCTAAGTGAAACAGCCAAACAAACTCGGGCAAAACAATGGAAATTGCACTTAAGAAAATGAATTGCATGCAAATGAGGTGCATGAAGGGGCCGCTGCGTGGGTGCTGGGTGAAGGAGGGGCGTGGCAGTCAGCCCACAAAACAAGACCACAAGTCAACCAGCGAACATGGAGCAAGAACAACAATCAGAGGTGTGTGCACAGGGGTTTTTCAAGGGATAAAATGGGTGGGGGGAGTAGGGGTCCTTGGAGCTGTGGTCCCAACCAGGCGTTAAAATGGCATTTACAGCGCGGCTCCCGATGCTGGCACTGCTGCTTCTGGCAGAGCGCAATAAATTTTCCATGGAAAATTTCGTACATTTGATTTTCAGCAGCTTTAACGACATTTTAATGTGCGTGGAAAACACAAACAGGAAAACAACATTCTCCCTCTCAGCCCCACGAACACTGCACTTCCGGTCTGGACGACGTATATGGAGGAAAGCGACGGGCAGGGCTGGTGAGAAAAGTGTAAAGTTTTTCGCGTGTGCTGTTGGCAAATAAAAGTGCAGACCTTTAATCAAATTAATAGTTTTCGGGGCCCGAGAGCAGGTCAAGCATCGTCTGCGTAGAAATTCTATGAAAATGTTGACTTTAAAAAATCCGAATGGTAATGTAAATAAATACATATAACCTTCAAAGAAAAGAACCAAACCGCAATTCCTAAGATAATATTAATTTCTTGTTAAATCCTTTTCTTTGTGTGTATATAAGGGGTAGCTTTTAAACTCGCTTTTCCCAATCCAATGCGAAATCAAAATCCGAAATTGAAATACGCAAACAAAATTGTAAAGTGGTTTTCATGGCGAAAGTGTTTAAAATTCGTTTCTGCATTCCCCATGTTTAAAAGTTATCCACATGTGTGGGGAGAAGATCGATCCTGGTTGTTCTATGTGGGCCTGTGGCATGAAGTGCTAACTACAGGCGGGAAAACTTTTTCCCTTTTTTAAGCTCCGGGAAAGTTGCGGCTCAAAGAAAAACCGGATCCGATATGCGGGCCTCTAATCAATCAGTGCAAAGCAAAGCCAACAAATACCCACCGCACACGCTTTATTGGTTAAATGTCCTAATTACTTTAAAAAGCCGCTTTCCCACGGCTTTCCA